TCACATGGTTTGTGCCATTACTTTTTAGGTCTCCATTCAGATGTCAACTTATCAATGGGGCCTTGACTATTTAAAATTGCATCTGCCTCTACCCCCACCTCCCAGCCCTTCCTGACCCTTTTCTCTGCCTTATTTTTTCCACAGTGTAATGTGACACACTAAATATATTACTTGTTTATTTGTGAATTCCTGCAGTAAATTTTAACCTCCACAAGGGCAGGGACTTTTATAGTTTTTTCATTAATATGTCCCCACTGTCTAGAATGTCTTTGGCACATAGTAGGTACTCAAACTATGTTTGTCCTGGGTCTGTTGAATTCAGAATCCACAGAAGAATAACTGGATATATGGTTTGGCTTTGTAGAAGATTGAATTCCACCATGGCAGTGCCACCTTCCAGTGTCCTTTTCCGAGCTGTCAGCTGGCTATCTTCTGTCACACCTGTATCCCATCTCATCTCTAACTTAAGGGCACCTAGGTCTTCGGAGTTCTCGTTGCGTCTCCCTTCTAGTTGAGTGTTTCTTCCTCTTACTGAAGTTTGCCTTTGAACGTTGTTCCCCTCTGAAGTTTATTATTAATGTAGAAGGGATGTTGATTTATAATAGCGATGAAATAATGTTGTCTTATACTGTGCTTTATTTTGTGGTTTTCTTTCTTTGTTTCCAAATGGCATTCTTAGGATGAGAAAGAGAAAAAAACTTCAGCAAGTTCTACTAGTTCAGCTTGCTCTATAAGATCCATTTCATCAGAGAAGAGAAAACTGGTAAGTGTTTAGATTCTGTAACTCTAAAAATTATTTATATTAAGATTTTAGTCTGCAATTGGTAGGCTTCTGATATAAATTCCCCCACTAGTGTTTTTCCCCTTATATTATACTTACTTTTTGATAGCCAGTGGGGAAAAAAAAAACAGTTTGGTTTTGTCTTTCTTCTACTCACCAAAAAAGCATTTATCAAATTCTTTATTTCTTTGTGCTGATAGACCCTATCATGTAGGATCAGACAACATGGATATAAATTCAGACATTGTTTTGTGTCTTTTCCCGTATATGGTTGTATTTGTCTTTATAATTTCCTTTTGAAGTAGCCAAGGCAGATATAGTGTCGGCATTTTTTTCAGATTCAGAAATTGAGATCCAGAAGGTTAACTGACTTGTCCAAGGACACAGTATTGTACAATAAATCCTCACTTAAATATCATTGATAAGTTCTGCAATTTAAGTGAAATTAATTTTGCCATAGGCTAATTGACATACACAAGAGTTAAGTTACTGCAGCATCTCATCGACATAATGAAAGAATGAATGAAACGGTGTCATTCGAGGACCTGCTGTACACAGCAACAGAGCCAAGTCCAGAGTTCTTTCCACTGTCACACAAATAATGGGGGACAGTGGCAGCAGACTAAACACTGGGTAATAAGAAAAAGTAGTTTTAAAGGTTCCATGTATACAGAATTGTGTTTTTAAGAACTTGTTTTTATATAATGAAACTGCTGTTTCAGTTTATTATCATTATACTAACCTTCTTAAAACACCAATTTCATCATGTTTTCTCTCCGTTTGTCATTTAGGACCCTCTTAAATTTGGTTACACCTTAACCAGTTTTCTTTCTTGTCCTTCAAAGCTTCTGCTTCTAGATAAGTTAGGTTATCTTTCTGCTGAACTTGCACCAGTCATCTCTAGCTTCTTAGAATACCTAAGCATTCTTAGCTGAGAATGCCTTTTTTTTTTAACCATTAATCTTTATTTAATCTGTATTCAATCTTTAGCATATATTTTCCACCTTTTTTTCTAGGTATGTCCCAACTTTTGGTGGTTGATGTTTTTGAACCTTTTACAACTTACTGTGTATTTTTCTGCTTTAGTATTTAATTATGTCCTTACATTAGGTTATTTGTACATATCCTTTAATTTCTCTTTACTTTATTTTTTTACTTTACTCCAAGCTCTTTAGAGCAGGGACTATATCCTGTTTGTCTCTTATTTTTCTTGTGCCTAACCCTGTAACTCCAGGGTATATAGAAAGGCAGGGTGGTAGAATAGAGAGTAGACAGTTCAGCAAGTATGGAAAAATTGTTTCCCAGTCTTCTGCTCCTATAACTGTAGTACCAGTGCACAGCCTGTTTCTTAAATGATACATTTTTTTCTTTCAGAAATCAGATCATACAGACATTCTGTACTGTAATATAAAAAGAAGACAAGAACTGAAAAGGTAAATTCTTCCTTTTTTTGATATCTTTTTACTTTTTTTGGCCTACAATTGTGAGACTTAAATATATAGATTTGCAAAATCCTTTACTTACTTAGATTAGTACTATTTCATATGCAAATATATCTAGGTATATCACAGATTATGATTTTTGAATTTTCATCATATTAATATAAATTTAAGAAAATGTTAAGTGAAATAAAAAGGCTATCAATTCTATACTATATGTGAGACACTTTCAAATACAGTGTAGATTTTTATCTTAAGTGATTTGATTTCGACACACCCTTATAAGATACATAACTTCATTACTTATAGTAATAGAAGAAGTTAAGAGGCTGATTTATGAATTTTGGATAAATCATCTTTAAATATTACCCTTGAAGAAAATATGTAGCTTATTGAATTAATGTGGCTTGAAAACCATGTTCATGAAACAGGATATGGCTACATCCGGAGAACTTGGGGAATAATGGAGGAATAATGGAGATTATTCTTTAATGTCTGCGTTCTTTGGATAAAAAGTTAAGAGAATTTTGTGGTGATGATGGGATTTCTTACTACTAATTACAGTAAATATGTATAAAAATTATAATGCATAGTAAAAGTTAATAAGGTCAAGGTTTCTCTGAAAATAAAAAGTTATAGGAAAACAACTTAAATGGTATTAAATGTATAAATAAAAGTTCTACTTCCCAGACAAGCTCAGTTAATGTTTATTAAAAGCAAAAACAAAAATAAAAAAAAAATCTCACTTGCTCGTGATTCTTCTTTAGTTTTTCTTTTGAATCACCCTCTATTTTTTTGTGATACTTTGCTTCTATTTTATCTGTTGAATTACGTTGTCACAAATTTCATGTCATGTTAACTATCACTTTCTAAATTTTCGAACTAGATTTTTAATGCCTTTTGTACTAGTATCCTTTTTTTAAATTTTAAGTTCTGAAACACTGCTTGACAAATAAAAATAAATGAAAAAATATAAAACACTGCTTGATTGTTCACTAGTTACCTTTTGCTTACAGGTACATTTTCTAGCCTTTGATTTTATATCCATATATAAGAACAATTTTTAAATAGACTTCTGATGTGCCCACAAAGTCTTTGAGAGGAGGAAGAAATATTGTTGAATTAGTTTGAGAATAAGATCTAAATTATTCTAAGAATCCAGTAAAGCTCAACTCAGTTTCAGCATTTACGCAAAATCTTACAGTGCTTAGTAGTTGAATACCTACTTCAACAACATTTCTGATAGGTAGTCTTTTTATGGGGATAGCAAAGAAAATAAAATCAGATGAAGACTCAGAGGAAACTCCTATATATACTCTGAGATCTTTAGAATTTGCCCTTGCATAATTATTTGAGAAGTCACTTAATTATCATCTCTTTCTCTCCTGCTGGACTGTAAGCTAATTCAGGATAAAGATTCTATCTGATGTGTCTTCCACTGCCTCTCCAGTACCTAGCAGAGTGACGGCCACTTAGAAGGCACTCAAGGATTTATTAATATAAATTACTGGATTGTGTTACATTGAAATTTTTTTCTCTTTTTTGATTACAAGGTAATATCTACTTTTATTAAGCAGGAAAATATTATCACCTATAGCTATTACTACTTCTAAGATTTAGCACATTTCTTTCTGGCCTTTTTACTATGTTTATTGAAATTGTTGAGACCACATTATACATACAGATTTGTGTCCTGCTTGTTTTTTGCTTAATATTATATCAATATGTTTTGTTATATCATTGAAAATTTTTATAAAGATCACTTGAAATGACTGATGTTCTCTCATTTGATAAAATTATGTTTCTTAGTCATTTCCAAAATTTTAACATTTTTAAATTAAACATAATTAAAATTTTACATAAAACATAATTAAAATTAAACATAATTAAAACAATTAAAATTAAAATTTTAACATTGGAATTTATATTGTCTGGTAAATTTTGCTATTATAATAATCCTTAATTGAATATATTTATTTTTAGTTCACTTATGATTTTTTTTTTCACCTCGGGATAGAATTATAAAATGGGAGTTACCGAGAAGTCAAAGAATATGAACATTTAAAAAATTTTTAATTATATTGTCTGATTCCTTTGTGGAACTAATCATTTTGAATTTCCACCAGCAACTTATGAGAGAAGGTCCATTTAACAACCTCTTGCCAATATTTAATGTTATTTTAAAATCTTTGCTAATTTGATAGAAGAAAATGGTATTTCATTATAATTAGCATGTCTATAATTACAAAGGAAGTGAAATTTATTTTCCCAAATGTTTATTAGCCTTTCCTTTTTTCTCTTTTATTAATTTTCTTTTTATGTGCTATTCTAGAGTCTTAGTACTTTTTGATGAGCTTTTTATCTACTAAGACTGATAAACTGACACATATATATATATATATATTGCAAATGCCATTTCCCAGTTCTTTGATTTTATTTATTATTTTTTAATATGCTAAAGTTTTACAGTAAGTAGTCATTTACATTGACTATTTTCTCTTGTGATTTTTCCCACTGCTATTAAATTTAAGAAATTCTCCATTAAGTCAGATAAATATTCTCTTTTTTCTTCTGTGGTTTTTAAGGGTTTGATATGAATATAGCAATTATGGTAATAATAATAATTTTGCACTTAAGTATATACTCTTTTTGGAATTTATGTTGTCTGGTAGTTTAGAAAGTTGTAAATTTTTTCCCCCAAATAGCAAACCAATTATTCATTTTCGATGTAGTCATTTCTACTTTTTATGAAGTTTGTGTCAAGCTAGTTCTGTCATTTCCTACCTAAAGTAATAGAGTACAAATTAAGTATAATCATGTATAATTGTAATGTAATGAGGTTTCTGTCCTGCTTTACAGACTGAATGTAGACACGACGACTCCAAGAAAAAGACCAAATATTAATCCTTCATCCCAAGGACCTGTTAAACTCCAAGGAGCATTAAATTCAAATGTTAATCAAATTATTTCACAGAGTCCTTCTTCAAATGGAACTAAAAAAGACATAAGTAAAAGTGTAGATTTTAAAGTTAATGATACCAAATTGACAAATGTTAGGAGTAAGCTTGACCATGGAATTAAAAACCTTAGCAGTCCTAAGATTGCCAAAGATGTGAAACCTAAAGCTGAAGTCCAGGCAAGTGAAAAAAAATGGTCTCACTCGCTTGCTCAGAGGGAGAAGATGAAAGAACTCAAGAAAGAAAGGCACAATAAATTTAGAGAAAGCTCTGAAAAATATGTTTTGGAAAAATGCAAGAGAATCCCATTTTCTCAGGATTGTAATTCCAACAAGTTAAGTAAGGAACCCCTCGAATCTAGAAGAAGGAAGATCAGTTTCAAAATCCCAGTAAAATCCCATGATCCTCAACAGAAGCTTGTAGAAGAAAATGTCTTCAGTTTAGATTCTAACAAGTCAAAGACTAAGCAGAAGAAAAAAGAATGCCTGGAAAGCTCTCAGGTTTCATTAAATTTGACGAGGCACAGAAGTAAACATTTATTTTCAGATTCCGCATGTAAACAGACTGTTTGTGAGTGGAAAGGAAAATATGAGCATCAAGAAAGTAATGATTCAAGTTCTAGTGAAAATCTAACCCAGGTAAGGTAATGCAAAACAAAGAATACAGATTTTAGCAAAGGTCAGTAGAACAACTGTTAATGGTTATAGAGGGCCGATTCAGATTTAGTCAGGAAGATGTGTGCTGGTTTTTATTTCACCCCTTTAATTTCACCTTTCTTAGGAAGATAATCCTGGCAGATATCAGGATCCATCATAGAAGAGATTGTGTAAAAATGTAGAAAGATGCAATTCCAGATAGTCCTTTAAGTAAAGCACCGTGACAGTCTCCCAGGCTCTTTAACCCCAGGTACTGTACTGTTGAACACTCAGGGCTTAGTATCCTGAATAGCTTATTCCGTTAACCAGTTATTTTTTGAGTGCTGCTATGTGCCAGACATGACAATAGAATAAACTGTAAGGGACACATAGTCTGTGTTTTCAGAAGCTTATATTCATGTGAGGAGACACAGCAGTCACTTAAGTCAGAAAAGCCCTTACCACTTAATATGGGGATTAACGTGGCCTTGCTTCACTGTGGAGGGAAAGGTTTACCAGAGGAAGTGGGAGTAACATTGAAACAGAACTGAAGCATGAATAGGAGTTACTGAGGTGAAGGTGAGGTGAGGGAGATGGGATGGAGACACAAGGGTGTTCCAGGCGAAGGGAACTAACCGCATGTGCCAAGATCCAGGCTAGAGAGCTGGCCACGCTATTTTGGTTCTAAATTATGGAATAAATTGGCATTTATGGAATAAGTGGACTACTTTGAGAACCTATTCTCTATAGCTTTCTTTCTATGGCAAAATTATTTACCTTTAAGAGAACTTCTAGAACTTCGGAACTTCAGAACTTTAGAACTTCAGAAATTTAGAGACTGCTTATAAACAGGAGTGGTTGGAGTCTACCTGCTTTTAAGTGTCAAGATTATAGATACTTGCTACGAAAGATGGATTATAACTAGGGAGGCCAGAGGAGCTTGAGAGAGAGTACTTTTGTCCAATGAATATGAAAGGTTCCAAAGAGGGAAAGAATTGAGTTTGTTCTTTTTATGGCTTTCTTAAAGGAAAACAACCTCTAGTAGTTTCTTGTGTTCTAACCAGTTCTCTAGAATAAAATGAAAGAAAAAAACTCGAACTTGCCACTACCTTCAGTGAACATCTTTGTGTCATTGCTTGGTGCACATCTAGGGAACAGTATAAGAAATTCCTGCAGTGCATCTTACAGTTACTTTTGGTCTCTATAGAATTACTCCACAAACCAAAGGAAGGACTTAGCATGGATATTAAGTTGTAAGGGAAGAAATGTTCGCATGATTACTTTTCAGTTTTTTTAATTAAAACTTTATAAAACGTTCTTCGATGGCAGCCTTATCTGACTTAAAGTTGTTTGGACACAGGAGCAGCAAGTAATATTGTTCTTATCTTGAATATATTTTTTTCCACATATTATTGACAGTAGAGAATCATCTCAATATTATGTTTGTTGTTTGGTTTTCTTAACAGATTCCTCAATAGATAATTCTTTTCCTAAGATAATGAGTGTACTTTACAAGGAAATAGTTGTATTTTCTGGATTTAGTCATCCTGTTATTTAGTAATACTGTTACACTTTCCTAAGAGAAAATGACTTCTTTTTTTCCCTAGGTTTTATAGTCCTTTGATATAGACCCCTCTCAGATTGTACCCTCCCCCCAGCATTCAAAATTAATGTTCTAGAAATTTATGGTTTTTAGGCCATTTTTACAAATAGCATCCCAGTTAATCCTTACAAATCCGTGAGACAGAAATTCATCAGTTTACCAAACATTAATTAAAAGTACCTATTATGTATCAGGTATGTTTCTCATTATTAGGGATTTAGAAATGAATAAAATGACCTTTACCCTCAAGAAGTTCTCAGGGAGGCAGATTAATAAACAAACACAATTGCAGTACAGCGAAGTAAATACTAGAGCCCTAAGAATGGGGTCGGTGTTAGTAGAAATTTTGGGGTGAGTTAAAGAAGGGCTCACCAAGGTGGAGATTCTTAAGCTTGGTATTGAAGAACGTGTAGAGCAAGGGATAGAAGGGTTGTCCTGCAAAGGCAGAGGTCCAGCGTGTGATGGCAGAGTTGTGACACCGCGTGGCGAGTACCTGGGCACTTCAGTTGAGATGTGTAGAGAATCTGTAGGAGAGGAAGTGGGAGCGGAAGCCATGTTCCAGACAGTGGGTTATTTTGCATCCAGTGAGGAAAATTTTATCTTTTATTCAGTAGATGGTACAGAGTCCCTGAGATGTAGTCATGTGAGCGGTATAATCTGGTTTTCAGTTCAGAATCACTCCAGCAGGGAAAACCATTACCAGTCTCACTATTGATTGTCCCGTTTGTCATTCTGAGAAGCCTTTCTCCCCATCCATGTCTTTAATAAAGCATGGTGGGGAGGACTGACAGTTTTCCCTGAGGAAAAATTAGGTAGGGACCATGGACACAAACTTTTCTGGTTTTTTAGGTGGTAGAAAATTTATTGAAGTGACTTGTGGCTAAAGAGTGAAGGGTAGTAGTGACTAAGTAAAACAGTGTAAAGACTTCGAATGTCAAGAGTTGCAGGAAGTTCTGATAATAATCTCTAGCTTGCTTGGCACTTCTTGGTTGAAGAGAAGCTTAAAAATCCAGGGAGATTTACTGTCAGGTGGAGAAGGGATTATAAAATCCAGGGTCCTGGGGTAGTAAAGTGATAATGGGCCCACGTGTGTGAGGTATACAGTGTTATATCATGTGAAGACTGGAGATGGGAAGTTAAAGTGGAAGATGAATTCCCAATGAAGGAACATGTGATACACTTCTTTAAAGAGGGTTTGTAATTTATACCATATGTAGCTTCCTGTAAAGTACATGTGAGTATAGTGTCATCTTGGAGAATTCTTAGAAGGTGATTTGGTTCAGTAGTGGCTTTTGCTGAGTTCTGTGTTACCTGTACGTAGGGTCAGGGAGGTCTCATCTGCTCAGCAAAAGTGCCAGTGAAAAATTGGAATTAGAAAGATTTTCAATCTCTGCTAGAAGACAAAAACAGAACACAGACTTTTGGTGTTCTGTCCGTGTATAATAATACAGCTGTGCATCTTTTAGCCTTTCCCTCTCAGCCATATTATATAATCTTCTGGTTCCCTTTGTTGTGCGAAGTGACTTTCGGAAATGGCTGTTATTCCTGGATGAAAATTTCCCACCGCCAGAGACCAGCTCTTTTACCTTTCTATTTCTTTGGGTGGCATGTAGTTTCATTCTTAGAATATGAGTATTTTTAGGAATGTATAAATGAATGAGTAAACCCTAAAGAATTTCTGCCATGTTTCGTGACATAATACAAGAAGGCTTTTCTATTTTAGGGGCAATTTCACTCCTTAAGGGGCATTTGGCAATTGACTTGATGGAGACATTTTTGATTGTCGAGCTCGGGGGTGGGTAGTGCTTCTGGTATCTAGTGAGTGGAGGCCAGGGATACTGCTAAATGTGCTACAGTGCACAGAACAGCCCCAGAACAAAGCATTGTCCGACCCCAAATGTCAGTGCCAGGGCTGAACAACACCACTGTAGATAACATGCCTTGTTCTTAACTAATAAAACCACTTTTCATTTCAGAGTTTTGAAGCACCATGTTCTTCAGTGTCACTCGAAAGTATTCAAGATACAGATCAAGAGGTTACTGCTATACTTATTTACTTTGAATATTTTTAATGAAATTAAGTGAAACAGTTCCTATTTAATAAATGAAAATAATACTGATATCCATATGTAAGTTTTTATGAAGTCATGAAAAACTATTTGGAGAAGTATTTACATTTACTTGATCACCTTTTTTGCCTTCTGGCCCACAAGTTACATGAATTTTGATTTAATGTTATCATGTGTTTGCTTATGCCTGGCTTGCCAAAATGCTGTGTGATGCTGACATGTTTTTTGCACATTTTTCCTAATCAGCAATAAGATGAAAATGTTATTCAGTGAAAATGAGAATCCATACATATTTATTTTTTTACCTGTTGCATCATTTCCCAGGTAGAATCTCCTGATTGATCCTCGTGGAATTTTTGCATAGAATTTTATGGTCCGCAAGCCTAAATTAAAATTAGATTCATAGAACACTTTGTGTTTTTCTATTTAAGGCAGACTTGAAAACCATATTAATTGATTTTTATTACTGAGAGTCAGTTGTATTTTCCTGTCTGGTGGGTAATTGCCCCCTTGATAAAGATTTCTCACCTCTGCCCTAAAGCTAGGTTATACTTTCATTTTTTTGCACCAAAATCCATCAAGGAACTACTTCTCTGAAGTGCGAAGCGTCTTAAGATCTAGGTTTCATAGACATCTTAGAAATCTCAGGGAGAGTGCTGCTCATCATCCCGCTAAAAACATTTGGCTCCTAAAGCACTTTGAAGTGAGAATGGGGATGAGAATTAACTTATTTTGAACGTCTACTATGGATTAAGTTTGTGTGAAGAGCTTCAGATTATTTCATTTAATCATCACAAAAATACTAAAAGGAAACAGATATTTAACATTCTTATTTTTTCGATGAACAAACTGAGACCCAAAGTAGTTAAATAATTTGCTTGCCTAAGGTTATGGAAGTCATAAGAGCTATTTTAAAACCCTGTGTAGGTGTATAAATCTGTTCTTTTACCATTCCGCCTCTATTTTTTTGTAAATTTTTTTTTCCCCACAAACCATCTCAAGTGAAGTAATTAAGAATTAATTGCTTTATTATTAATCTGAAGAGTAAATGAAAAGTATTTTACTGTGGGTCTTTTACAATTTAGATGCAGATAGTTGAAGAGCTTCATGCTGCACGTGTGGGAAAAAGTGTAGATTCACCTGTGGTGCTGCCTTCTGGAGAGTTAACAAGCATGGAGATTGATTTAGTGGAAGACGATAGACATTGCTCTGCTGGTATACCCTGTGTGTATATGATGATGTCTATGATGTATGCTTTCTTAAGAATGAGTGTGCCAATTCAATTTTTATAATATTTAGATGTAAAATGTTAAAATGTGCTCATTTGCAATAATAAAGTATGGTATATTTCTTTATAGGAATCAGGTGTAATATTTATCTTATCATCATTCATTTTTATATATCTCACATTATTAGGCAATTAGATGTATTTTCTTCTTTTTGTCAAGGGGCAGCAGTCACAGTAATTAGTTGTCTTTTATTCCTGGTAGTAATCATAACTTTTTAACAGTTTCAGCTATGTAAAGCATTGATCAATTCTTCCTACTGGGAGATAGATAATGATATATTATCCAAAATCTATTAGCATACTATTTTGAATTGTATTTATAAAAATAGTAATGCTACATTACATTCACATTGAATTTTTCACTCTACTGTTTTTGTGTGCATTAACATATATGACCCTCACAATAGCTCTATGAAGTAATGCTAATATCTGTTTGCTTTCTTTTACAAGTATTAATTTTTTCAATTATGTTTCACTCAGTATATTAAAATTAGCTTATGATTCCTAAGTGCACAGCTACCAATGGTGAAGGATGGGGTTTTGCAACTGTAATTACTGTAATTACTACTGGGGCATCAGTTTATGTTCTTTCTCTTAAGGATTGCAGTAAATGTGTTTTTGTTTTTGTTGTCCAAAGGACTGCCTTCTCTTAAGAATGTTATCAAAGTTCTATGATATTTAAATTTCAGTTATTAAAGACTGTTATCAAGTGTCATGAAATCCTAATTTTGCCTTCTTTCTCTAGCAAATACTGCTTCAGACAAAAAGCTTCTAATTGTTATTGACACAAATATTCTGATGAATCATCTCAAATTTGTTAGAATTTTGAAGACAACAGAAATACCAGGTATTTATAAAACATATTTGCTGATTCTGATTTTTATATTTTAGTTGATATTTTAACAGTGACGTGGGTTTTTTCCCCCCACAAGTACATTTCCATTTAGATATTAAGCATATGTATTAAGCATAATCAGCTTAACTTAAAAAAAAAAACCTTCACAGGTTAATCTAGCAATCTACATTTAACTCTTCTTTGATTTCCAATACTTTCTCCAACATTCTTTCGACAAATCTGTTAATTTCCATTTTTTTTGTGTTAACTCTTCATTTAGATTGTGAATTCCTTACTTTATAACTTTCAGTTCTCCTACAGCATTTCAACTGAGTAACATAATATTTGTTGACTTCAAAGATATCTTTTTTATTTTTTAGGCTTTGATAGACTTGTGTTAATAATTCCCTGGGTTGTTGTGCAAGAGCTAGATCGTATGAAGGCAGGAAAACTACTAAAATATGCCCAGCAAAAAGCTATACTTGCAGTTCATTTCATCAATGAATGTCTCAAAAATCAAGATAGAAATCTATGGGGTCAATCAATACAACTTGCATCTCAAAAACTTTGTAAGTATCGTTCTTTCATGGTGCTTCCTGGTTAAGATTTGTTTGGGTGCCAACTCATTGGAGGGAAATGGTGCAAAACTTTAAAAACTTTATAACCGTTGGAAATGTGCATGACAAAGCATGGTGATGCTTTGTGGGATCCTTGATTTATTTTTCTGCTTCTCCTAGACCTTCTTAGGTTATGTCTCTATTTTACAGATAGTAACTATTATAGTTTGTGTGCACAGTAGTCTGTAATACAGTACTTTGGGTTCTTTTTTTTAAATACTGTTGCTGAGTGATGAGGCCCATAGTAATCTAGGTTTCTCATCTGTTACTGCACACAGTTTATATGATGTAGAGGCAGGGATTATTTTCCTCTAGTTTAATTTGTAATAAGAAAGTCTTTTTGTAATAAAAGTCTATAGATTTTCTCCCAATTTTTTTTTCCATATTAGTTTTTTTGTTGTTATTTTTAAATCATTCTAGTCTTAGAACCCAGGTATGCTCTTTATGTTTTACATGAATTTTTTGGGAAAAAAAAATCTGTGCTTAAAGCAACACCATTTCCTCTACAGTTTATACATCCATTTAGAGGATTTGTCTCATCTTTAAAAATTTGTTTCTTCCCAGCTCAGAATTATTTTTATATGTAGATGTACATTATTTTATATATCATGCATGGATTTCTGTTGTCCACGGTACCCATATTCACCATAAGATGTGAAAGAATTCATCCTAGATGAATCTGATAATGGTATTAATGCTGAGAAGAATATTAATGCATAGCTGGCTTCCACCATTCATTCATTCATTCATTCATTCCATTTACAAATATTAGCTCTTAGTATATTCTAGCTACAATACTTACACATTTTAAGTAAGAACTTTATGTGATATAAGATCTTTT